ATTCTACAAAGGGAAAGTCATACAGAAGATCAAGAATCAGAATGGCTTTGGCCTTCTTAATAGCAACACTGGAAGCTAGAAGACAATGGAGCAATGCCTTCAAAATTATGATGGTTCAAGTATAAAATTATATACCCAACCAAACTAACAACGAAATGTGAAGGTAGAGTAGACCTTTTTCAGACATATAACGTCTCAACAAGATTATGTCTCATGTGCTCCTTCTTTCTCAGAAGAAGCACTCTATCAAAACACAAGAAAAAGCTGAGACAAAGGAAATAGGAGAAACATCACAGGAGAAAGGCAAATCAAATCCCCAGGATGGGGGCACCTGTGTGGCTTAGTCAGTTGAGCATCCGACCCTTGATTTCAGCTCAGGTCATGATCCCAGGGTTGTGGGATGGAGTGCCATGTTGGGCTCCATGCTGAGTGTGGAGCCTGCCTGGGATTTTTGCTCTCTCTCCTCTCCCCCACTCACACACTCTCTCTCTCTCTCTCTCTCTCTCTCTCAAAATAAAAATAAATTTCAGGGGCGCCTGGGTGGCGCAGTCGGTTAAGTGTCCGACTTCAGCCAGGTCACGATCTCGCAGTCCGTGAGTTCGAGCCCTGCGTCAGGCTCTGGGCTGATGGCTCGGAGCCTGGAGCCTGTTTCCGATTCTGTGTCTCCCTCTCTCTCTGCCCCTCCCCCGTTCATGCTCTGTCTCTCTCTGTCCCAAAAATAAATAAACGTTGAAAAAAAAAATTTCAAAAAACATCCCCAGGATGATGGTGATGGTAAATACCAGGGACAACTATGTATTAAGACAGACAGAGCAACTCATCCACACTAAAGAAGTGTGACTCAAGAGATAGTATATTGAAGAAGGATGGTCATTACCAAGGTGGCTTTTGCTACTGTACTGGCCCTTTCACTTGACAGTGCTAAGGTAAGTCTTCCCAAAATTAATTTTTGTACAAGATTTGCTTGGCAAGTTCCTGCTTTCCCTTCTATGCCCTACTTCCTGGATCAGCCTAAAGACTCGCATTTTAACCCAAAAAAACCCTCTGCTTTGACCCATTTCTGAGAGCTGAAGTTTGACCACAATGAATTTAGAAGCAGAAAATATAGAAAAGTTCATTGCCTCTGACCACGTTTCTGTTGGATATCCTGTAAGAACCTGGACCCTGCTATAGACCTGTCAAATGCTCTGAATATGATAAGCCCTATGTTTCCCAGGATTCACTTACCCACTGACTTCCCCCTAAGCGGCTCTTATAAACTAGCAGGGAAGTTGAAACTAGATTATGATTCTGAGACAAAAGCCTTTCTCTTCTAGAAATATTTTATCTAAAAGGGATAACAATGCCCTTTTTTTTACACAGCCAGGTTTATACTTTGCTATTCAGCTTTTATCACTTTACTCTTTTATCACTTTTATCACTTTAAATCACTTTACACACACACACACACACACACACACAAACACAAATATAAATAATATAAATAAAGCAATTTAATATTTGCTTATTAAGATCTTGAAAAGTATAAGGAAAATAAAACTTGCTGACAGGACAAATATGGATGGGACCAACAATGGTGAAAAGTTTTCACTGCAACTGAAAGTTTTTGTACCAATGTGGGCCCTAAAAACTCAACTGCAAGTGGAAAAGAATTTCCTCTGCTGAATGTCTTTAGATAAGCTAGCTTCTCAAAATTTAATTATGCATGGTTCATAGAAAAAATATTTTCAGTTATATTAAACAAGTAAGTACTCAGTGACTTTATTTACATGCCAATTCAAGCATTCTCAATTATTCTCAGATGAATCTTGGGTTTTTTTCTTTTTGTACCCACAATGTAAAAACATTGAACTTTACCTCACTGAGCTTGTATAACATAAAATACTTTTCTGAGTATTTTCCTTGATTCATGGAAGAATTTTCTAGCCCACAGCTGCTGAATGTTTTTCACTGTAGTTTTGGGGTATTGTTTTTTTAATTACCTTCAATCTTCCCATATCAATCGAACTTAGAGGTTTCAGTACAAGTTGGTTTGAGCCTTTAAGGGCAAAGATTAAGTCCTTAAAGAATAATATTAACCTAGTGCTGGAAGACATAGTTCTTCTGTTTGAATAAACAGTCACTCACATAGAAAGACAAACTGTTGCAAACTACTAATTAACTACTAGTACATTCAACAAATAGATTTTATTTAGGCAAAGGGCAATTCCATGTCTTCTAGTCTGCATTATCTAGCTCAAAATAATCGAACTATAGAGTCTGCAGCTGTTAAAGGCTGCTGCCCCTCAACTTTTCTTTTTTTCTTATAGAATTTAATGTTTATTTATTTTTGAGAGAGAGAGAGAGAGAGAGAGAGACAGAACGTGAGTGGGGGAGAAGAAGAGAGAGGGAGGCACAGAATCTGAAGCAGGCTCCAGGCTCTGAGCTGTCAGCACAGAGCCTGACACAGGGCTTGAACCTGTGAACCACAAGATCATGACCTGAGCTAAAGTTGGACGCGTAACCAACCAAGCCACCCAGCCACACCTCAACTTTTCTTAATAAATATAAATTATCTTGGAGAAAGAATCAACTAAAATGTTTTTTTCTTGGTTTTGTTTTGTTGTTTTATAGTTTTAGAGAAAGAATGAACGAGCAGGGCAGAGGGAGAAAGAGAGAATCCTAAGCAGGTTCCACACTCAGCACAGAGCCTGAGGCAGGGCTCGATCCCATGAAACTGGGATCATGACCCGAGCTGAAACCAAGAATTGGATGCTCAACCAACTGAATCACTCAGGCGCCCTTGAAATGGCTTTAAATATATTGTATACAGGGGCACCTGGGTGGCACAGTTGGTTAAGCATCCAACTTCGGCTCAGGTCATGATCTCACA